CACAGGACATCCTCCCGCACCCATTTAGGGTAATCATGTAGCCCCAGTTCGCAGGTAGCAGACCGATCAACCCATAGTTGCTGTCTTGCTGTGCCAACAAAAACCACACAGAATGTTCAACAATGTCCCTTGTGGAAAAATACTGACACGAACTGCAGTCTTGGATAACCTAACAGCAAACATGCTGATCAGTTAGCTAGGGAAACATTGACACATACTGCAATCTTTGATACCCCAACAGCATACATGCTGGTCAGGGATCAAGAGAAACATTGACACATACTGCAATCTTTGATAACCCAACAGCAAACATGCTGGTCAGTGAGCAAGAGAAACACTGACACAGACTGCAATCTTTGATAACCCAACAGCAAACATGCTGGTCATTGAGCAGGAGAAACACTGACACAGACTTCAATCTTTGATAGCCCAACAGCAAACATGCTGGTCAGGGAGCAGGAGAAACACTGACACAGACTGCAATCTTTGATAGCCCAACAGCAAACATGCTGGTCAGTGAGCAGGAGAAACACTGACACAGACTGCAATCTTTGATAACCCAACAGCAAACATGCTGGTCAGTGAGCAGGAGAAACACTGACACAGACTGCAATCTTTGATAACCCAACAGCAAACATGCTGGTCAGGGAGCAAGAGAAACACTGACACAGACTGAAATCTTTGAAAACCCAACAGCAAACATGATGGTCAGTGAGCAAGAGAAACACTGACACAGACTGCAATCTTTGATAACCCAACAGCAAACATGCTGGTCAGGGAGCAAGAGAAACACTGACACAGACTGCAGTCCTGGATCTCCAAACAGGAAACACGCTGGTCAGGGATCAGGGGTTTAATCACTGCTGATATCTACATACAATGTGGTGACATCTTAAAAGATCTGAACATCAAGGAAGATTGGCTAATAAACAGCATCCTTTCACGAAAGCTGAAATATTTTGGTCATATCAAGCGCCACGACGGATTGGAAAAAACAATTATAGCAGAAGGCATGGTACCAAGTAGGAGAAGCTGGGGCACAGGATATAAGTGACTCATTGAGTATGAAAGTGCATGAGGCCAAAAAAAAAAAAAAAATGGCGAGAGACCAAGTTTCTTACAGGCAGACTGTGATGAGAGCGACGTTCGGCAAAGGACCTGCTACATGATGATGCGATATCTACAACGATCTGGGCATACTTGCCTTGTTCTTTGTTTTGCGAAAAAAAAAGTTGTCACGTTCAACCAGCATCCCCGATGGAGGAGCTTTTGGTTATAACTGTGATTAAGTTATTTGCGCCATTTAAAATTGCTTAGTATTTCTTGCCATCAAGCGGCCCTGAAAAGGACTCTTGCAGTGTTTTAGGTTTGAGGTTTGAACAATGGATCACACGGGTAGTTACCCATAAGTGTTCCGCTCTCATTCTTCTTGCAGTGTTGATGCGATCAAAGGAGATAGACCCAAATACTGCCCCGACTGGCCAGCCAATAGACGACCCGATGTCTGGGTGTACTAAGAGTTTGCCATTTTTCTTTTTTCTCTGATAGGCAGAACAGCTGGAAAACGACAGTTTGGAGGCTCTGTGTAGGGGCATGCTGTGTTCCATCCCTGGCTATCACACGTGCCAGTACATTCTGCCACAAGAATACACCACTTGTGGCCACAGTATGGTAGGTGTAGTCTGCCGGGTTTGTGGTGACAAAGCTACGTTTAACAATGTTCACTGTGGTTTTCTGGTTTGTGGTGACAAAGCTATGTTTGATAATATTCAGTGATGATTGAAAAGTACATTTTAACATTATGTAGCTGTTCAAATAGACAGAGCAGATGTGTAAATAGTAATCAAAACTAGCAATAGATAGCGTCGTTAGGCTACTCTTTTCGATTTCCAACTGCCAAGTGATTTTTTAACGTGCGCAACAATACAGACGGGCGTCCGATCTAACCAACCAGAGCCCAGGAAAATTACTAGGAGTCATCGTAAAAAAAAATTCCAGTCTTCACCAGCGACCTCTAACACTCAAGGCTGACGTCATTCCTCAAACCCCCACCCCCTCTCCCCCCTCCCCCAATCATGAGTAAAAGCTTTTTCAAACGATGCTGCCCCACTTTGCTGCAAAGCACATTTTGTTTATAAATTTCAGTATTCAAAAGAAAAGTCGATGCGAACGCTTCGTAATGCCTGGATGCCGGGTTCGATCCCAACTGCGAGCCATGTGCCTTGCGTTGGTTTCGACAGTGGTATCAAGAAAGCCGACTGTCCAGGAAGCAATGGCAAACTACTGGACGTAAATTGCCTTGAAAAACAGCCAGGGGCTGTTGGGGGTCTGCAACGTCCTGTAAAGGATTCGCAACTAACCCATTCAAAATAGAAAAAAAAAAAACATTCTCCTGTAAAGTTAGTTACCATCATTCACACTGACACTCTAGGTACAATTTCAACATTCGGGAAAACAGCCGCCGCAGCTAGTTACCTCCACCCTAAACTGTGTAAACAAAAAGACATGCTTCAGACACTACAATGCCCTGGTAAAACAGTTGCCTTTGTTTGTTGTTGCATTTCTGCTTCATTTATAAAGGATTTAATTATCTGTTTCATTTATATAATTGTTACTATAAAATGCAACTGACAAGATGCAGCGTAAGATGCCAGGCTATACCCTGTGCAATCTATTGTTTCTATTTTTTGCATTATAATTTACAAAGGGGTAACATTGCTTGGATTTCAGATTGTCGAGAATTTTTTTTCTCTACAGTACAGGGGAGACTCATAATTTTCATCAAGAGCAATTTAGTGTTCGAGATACTCACATTAATTAAAGATGTCAATATAATTGAGGTCTTTGTTACACTTTCACACTTTTTCTTTAGTTCATCAGAAGCAATAGTTTTTCAGTATGCGAATAAGCCTCTGCGAGTATTGGCTGTTCAAAGAGTATTGTCCAAAATAGGGAAGAACGTTCCTACCCTGAACTTTTCCGTTTTACTGAGAAGTAGCTCTTCCGGCAGCTCTGCTGATCCATCATATCTAGCAAGACGAAGACTTCTTTGTCCGTCCCGTTTTTTCCTCACAGATGTTGTATTATACTCAGTTAATTGCATAACTCACGGAGCATGTTGAGAAAGGTGGAAACAGGTTTGCTCCGTGCAGAGTGGCAAACATTACCAGACGTCTCGGGTAGTTAGCATCATTTGCATATTCTCTCCAGGTTATGACGGTGTGTTAGGAAAGGAGCAGGCAGATAAACTGGCCGGTTCTGCACCACTTGGTGGTGAATTTATGTATGAGAAACTAGATGTTGTTATAGTCCTCTGGGAGCGATTGAACAGTGCGGAAGCGCAAATAGATCATTATGGTCTGAGGAGAAAAGCGCTGCGAGGAGTTACCACGGGATCTGACCGATGCTCAACACTCAAGGGAAGGGCGAGACAGATATACAATCAGCATGTTACTGGTGCCACCGGAATTGGAACTCTTCGTTTGTTGCTGAAGACGAAGCGCTTATGGGAGTGTCTCGAGTGCTATGATGTCGATTCTTAATTCAAAATTCAACATTCCCGTTTTTTTTCCCCTTTACTGTAATCCGTATCCGGACTTTTACTTCTGGCTTCGCGATCATATTCATAAACTGTTTCTTAGTTTCTAAGAGACAGGTTTTCAAAAACCCAAGAATCAGGTAATCAGGTAAACGAAGTTTCAGCTTCACGGCAAACGGGTCACTCTGTAACTGCCCAGTTATTGCGTCAACAACAAAGAATAATGGTAACCATCCCCCTGTGGGATGCAATTTTTCGTAATTTTGAAGCACTACCCTGGCTCTTCGTCCGTGTGTCACCGGGGCCCTCACCGGAAGCATAGAATAGTGACACTGCATCCTACCAGGCATGTCGTAAGACCCTAGTTGGGTGTGCGGTTGGCCACCTCATCCTATAAAAACAATGGCCACAAAAACCAACCAACCATGGATAAGTCAAAAAGAGAAGCAAGTAAAACCCAGCCAACCAAGATAAGGGGAGGCTCTTTAAGTAAAAGAAGGTGTGGAGAAAGCCGAAAGGAGTCCGGAAACGTTGACATACCTCCTCTCAGCTAGGAAAAAATCTAGAATTGGCACCTGGAATGTTAGATAAAGAAAGGTCAAAATTAGAACGACTTGGCGTTAGTTGGCTGAGGGCCTATGCTCCATTAGGGGATAGAAAGGCAGAAGAAGGAGACTCTGGCTCTGGCCTTGGGCATCAATATAGCCCGGCCATAAATGTGGTCTAATTGCTGAACGCGGTTTCCGGGACCTCTCCACTGGTGATCCTCATCCACATGGTGGCACTTTGTGTTATCGGGTGTTTATATCTCTTGTGTGATGTCCTGGTGGGGTAGAAAGTCAGTCAGTCAGTCAACATAAATAAAGTACACAAAATGTCCAATAACTATCCCTCATCCACAGAAGCCAGTGTCGCGCCATGCATTCCGTTCAGTGGCTTGGCGACAAACTAGATTCAAGAAGTGATGACGCAAATTGGGGGGGGGGGGGGGGGAAAAAAAAAAAGGGGGGGGGGGGGGAAAGAAAAAAAAGCTGGGTAACTGCAGTCGAGCTGATTACAAGAAATACTAAATAGACCACAAAATACGAATAAAAAGCTCAACGTGTGGAAAGGAAAAGACGCACACAAACGCGACCGAACGTCTTGACCAAAGTGTTTATCAACGGAATACTAAATACTAATAAATCGTGAATGAAGAAGAAGAGAAATATGTTCTCTAATATCCTTATGTGTTTCAACTCTCTTGTTTGCTCACAGTGGTGTAGGAGTGGGAAATGTACGACCAAGTGCGAATCACATACAACGACGTGCCCTCCCGACTTCACTTGGGTGAATAGAGGAAGAGAAGATGAAGAAGACGCAGAAGAAGATATAACCATGTCGTTGACAGACAAAGCGGTACCAACAGAAACTTTAAATGTTTCTCAACCTCTATCCTTATCAACAACAACAGCAGCAGCAGCAACATCACAACTATCTGTCAGCGGCTCGCCAAAGCACGACCACTGTATCACAAATAATACCTCAAACGTTGTGACTACTTCATATAGCACCTCATCTCCTACAGCTCTTGTATCTTCAGTCATAATTATTGTCTCTGTGACATTTGACATTTTGTCTTTTTCTTCTTTTAGTGTTGTAAAGTTTTGAGGTAATGATGCTTAGACCTAGCGCAATGGCACACTCATTTGTAGTAAGCATAATTGCTCCTTCTCCTCTTCCTCTTCTTCTTCTTCTTCTTCTTCTTCTTCTTTTTCTTCTTCTTCTTCTTTTTCTTTTTCTTCTTCTTCTTCTTCTTCTTCTTCTTCTTCTTCTTCTTTCTTCTTCTCTTCTTCTCTTCTTCTTCTTCTTCTTCTTCTTCCTTCTTCTTCTTCTTCTCTCTTCTTCTTCTTCTTCTCTTCACTCTTTCTTTTTTCTTCTTTTCTTCTTCTTTTTCTTCTTCGTCTTCTTCTTTCTCTTCTTCTTCTTTCTTCTTCTTCTTCTTCTTCTTCTTTCTTCTTCTTCTTCTTCTTCTTCTTCTTCTTTCCTTCTTCTTCTTCTTCTTCTTCTTCTTCTTCGTCTTCCTTCTTTTTTGATTTTTTGATACGCTGAAAGGTTTATTAAAGGATCACACCAATCTGCAAGCCACGGACAGAAGAAAACAGATGGAGACACCCTGAGGCTGTAGAGATCTCATATATAGTAAATAAACATGTATTGATTGGCACTTACAGAAAGAAGTAGCAAGATATAAGGATGGAATAGACAATATAATAATTAAAAACTATTGTGTCCAATCGGGGAAATGAACCTGTTATCTGCAAAGGACGAAAGAAACAATTGTACCAAGACGTATTTCTACTTCCTTCTATGAGTGCTAATCATTGCAAACCATAGAGCAGAAGGGCCTTAAGAAAGGATGGAAAAGCGGAAACGCACGAGATAATTAAAACAGAGGTAGATTGGGTAAGTTAGGGGTATGGTGAGCTACAAGAGCTGTCAAAAGTCGGCGTTAAAAAGCACAGGTTGTTGTGTGTCTTTGCTCCACTGATTGGGGGGGGGGGGGGGGGGGGGGGGGGGGGGGGGGGGGGGTAGGGGGGAGCACAGGATAAGAAAATATTCAATTGAAACCGTAATTTGACAGATTTTTAATCGAAGCATCAGTTCAGGAGAGCTATTATTTCCTTTTCTGATATTTTAACCTTTTGTTTTTCAATAAAGCACTATATATGCTTTTGTTAAATGTGTGTCGCATTTATTTATGTTATTAGTTCACTGTTTATGTGTACGTATATATGTGTTTTTTGAGGTTTATGTTATATCTTCGCTGTTACTGAGTATGACACATGCTTCCTGTTAATGTTGATGGTGTGTGTTTGCTGCTAATGTGTATGCTAAATGTTCATAAACAAGTTTTTGGTATACGTTCTTGGGGTAGGAGACTATCCTACTGCTAGGCGCGTCCACCACGTGGCGAATGGTGGAAAGGGTTCTAGATACAGAGGTTAGCCACGAAAATATTGAATAAGTGGCTGTGGACCAAAACAGGTGATGGTCATTGACGGGACAGCTAACTCTAAAAATACATTAAAACTACGATATGGCCATCGGCGTCAAGAGACGCCATAACCTCTCCCCCCTGCTGCCTTGTGGGGTAAGTCTCTTTAGACAAAGGCTAATGGAGTCAAACCATATACAAACCGACGGAAGTCAAGGGGAAATTACTGCTTTATTCTCCCAAAGAAAACCATGCCTCGAAACATTAACGAATTCAGATAACGACGTGAATGGGGATTCCAATAGAATCACCTCATCAAGTAGAGAGCATCATATTCTACGGGTGATAACCGACCGTCATCCGGCTACTGTAGAAAAAGTAAATGGCAGAAACATCCTGAACCATAGAATGTCAGAACACTTGTACAAAACGGAAAGTTGGAAAACATCAAGATGGAAATGAAGATAATGAACATCAACATATTAGGAATTAGTAAAACGCGATGGCCAGGAGCAGGGGGGAAAGTTAATAATTAGTTACTCTGGTTAAAGGAATATAGTAAGAGTCGGTATTACTTTGGATCAAAAGAACTAAAAAACTGTAAACGGATTTTGGACGATATCAGATAGAGTACTATTAGTAAAACAGCAAACCGTTTGATATCTACTTAGTACAGATTGAGGCCCCAACAGCAAATAGTTCAGAAGAAGACATTGACGTATTTTATGACGATTTAGACTGTTGATCAATGCAAAAATTGTGAAGTAACAATGGTACTGAGAGATTTCAACGCAAAAATAGGAAGTGAAAAAGTGTACGGAAAAACGGGTGGCTATGACCTAGGAGAAAAGAATGTGAGAGGTGACAGATGAATAGCATGGACTGAGTCGCACAGCATGATCATAGGTAGCACCTGTTTTAAACCACATCCTCGAAGATCGTGGACTTTGAAAAGTCCTGGCGATAATGTCCGCAATCAGATTGATTATATTTATTTTCAAGAAGATTCCGGAGCTGCTTAGTTGGAGCAAAGTCTAGACCAGGAGCAGACTGCTTCAGTGACCATATTCCAGGTATAGAAAATAAAATTAGAATAAAACTAAAGAATATTAAGAAAACACCACAGAACATCAAAATAAATTTATGAATACTTAGAACGTATAAATAAATTAAGTAACAGTACAGTGTCACTGTACAAAACCTGTATAATGCAAAGGAAATGATACAGACTATTGTTGAACAGTGGGATATGTTGCGTGAGTCATTTCAGCAGGCATCAGTAGAAAGAATCATACCAACCAATAGAGTTGCAAAAAAGAAATAGATATCAACCGAAATTCTGCAGCTGATGGATGAAAGAAAGAAGAAAAAGAATGATAAAGAAGAATGCTCTAGAATACAAACAAAGAAATAGTGAGAAATTGCAAAGTAGCAAAGGAAACCTGGCTGAATCACTATGTGTGAAGAATGCTTATAATACCTTGGACGGCCAGAAAGAGCAACCAAGAGGTTTTGAAAGATGCGGGAGCCCGAAGACAGCTTATCACAGACATCAGAAAGAGACAGTCTTCATTTTTCGGCCATATTAGTAGAACAAGGAAAATGGAATCTGTTTTGACCACTGGAAAGATCTGTGGAAGAGGGATAGAGGAAGACAACGAGAAAGGATTCTTGACAGTCTTGTTGCATGGCATGGAGGTGTCAACACACGAACTAATACATGCTGCAGGAGATCGCAGATTGTGGAGAGACATGATCGCCCACGCCATTCGGCAAGGCATCTGATGATACGGATGATGATGGTATAAGTTTAATGTAGATGTTTATGGTATAGTTCAATAGTTAGTTGACTAGTCTCTCCAGGGAAAAGGACACTTAAAAGTAAAAAAGAACGGAAAGGATTATGCAAGTTTCAAAAGACCGTGTGAGATAGATACATTATAGGAGCGTCGTTTGATTGGCAATTTTAGAAAGAAAATGAAGAAGATGATATGGAAGGAAAGAAAGAAGGAAGACAAAGAAGAAAGAGGATGATAATGACGATGGTGATGATGATGAAGTAGAAGTAAAAGAAAAGAAGGAGAAGACGACAACGACGAAGCAGAAGAAAAAGACAACGAAAAAGAAGAAGAAAAAAGAAGAAGAAGAAGAAGAAGAAGTTATTGCCACACGCTACGAACTCCCTCCCTTCCCCACACGCTCCCCTTACCCTTCAAACACACACAAACATACATGTTTCACTGGCTCTCGAGTTTGCAAACGGACCAAGTTAGGGGCGGTATCTTCAATCAACCTTATCATAAAAACAGGCTTGGTGGATTGGCGGCAATTTCACAATTCAATCAACAAAAACAATCTGTGTGTGGTTTTCTCCACACTTGGCTTGTGAAGACTAGTGCAAGCTGAATAATTAACTGCAAACTCGATTTTTACGAATTATATACATTGTGTTACCTTATACAAGAGTCCGACGATTTGTACTGTGAACGGTGAGAAACAAATCTTTTCACACCAATATTAGGCATGTAGTCTTTCTTTCTTTTTGTCTTTTTTGTCTGTCTGTCTTTCTTTCTTTCTTATTTATTTTTCTTTCTTTCTTTTCTACTCTTTCTTCTTTTCGTTTTACTCTTTTTCTTTCTTTTCTTTCTTCCTTTCTTCCCTTTCTTGTCTTTCACTTTCCTTCTTTCTTCTCTCTTTCTTTCTTTCTTTCTTTCTCGTTTCTTTCTTTCTTTGTCTTTCTTTTTTTTTATCTTTCTTTCTTTCTTCTTTCTTTCTTTCTTTCTTTCTTTTCTTTCTTCTTTCTTTCTTTCTTTCTTTCTTTCTTTCTTTCTTTTCTTATCTTTTCTTTCTTTTCTTTTCGTTTTCTTCTTTTCTTTTCTTCTTTCTTTATGTCCTTCTGTTTTTTATGCCCTTGGTTAGTTAGTTTAATGTCCCTTACAATTACAAAAACTCTTCTAGCATTTTTTACTGTGATTTTACAAGGCAATTTTGCGTTCATTAGTTTGCCAATGTAAAATGCACGGTCGGCTCTCGATAGCACTGTCGAAACCGACGCAAGGCGATCTGCTCACACACTGCCCGCAGCTAGTAATGAACCCGCACCCTGGTTATTACAAAGCACTTTCGCAACGCCTAAGCAACAGACGCCGACAGTGATGCCCGTTGCTGTATCGGGAATATAGTTCTAGCCCAAATATTTTTTAAATTCTTTCAGGAACTCGATGGTTTATGGGCTTAACATCACGTCTGCTGCTGCGGTTGCTTTCTTCTTCTTCTTCTTCTTCTTCTTCTTCTTCTTCTTCTTCTTCTTCTTCTTCTTCTTCTTCTTCTTCTTCTTCTTCTTCTTCTTCTTTCTCTTCTTCTTCTTTTTCTCTTTCGTTTTTCTCCGTCTTCTTCTTCTTCTTCTTCTTCTTCTTCTTCTCTTTCTTCTTCTTCTCCTTCGTCTTCTTCTTCTCCTTCTTCTTCTGTCTTCCTTCTTTCTTCTTCTTCTTCTTCTTTTCTTCTTTTTCTTCTTCTTTCTTCTTCTTCTTCGTCTTCTTTTTCTTCTTCTTCTTCTTCTTCTTCTTCTTCTTCTCTTCCATCTTCTTCTTCTTCTTCGTGTTTCTTCTCTTCTTCTTCTTCTTCTTCTTCTTCTTTCTTCTTTCTTCTTCTTCTTTCTTCTTCTATCTTCTTC